GCAAAAAGAAAAAAAGCCAGAAGTGGCGCTGTGGCTCAAGTGGTAGGTAGAGCGCTAGCCTTGAGCTGAAGAGCTGAGGGACAGCACCCAGGCCCCGAGTTCAGGCCCCAAGACCGGACCAAAAAAAAAAAAAAAGAAATGGTATTTTCACAATAAAAAATAAAATAAAATAAATGTACTCATGACCTTGCTCATATAACTGTAACCCCTTTGTACAGTATTTTCACAATAAAAAAAACTTAATTAAAAAATAAAAAAAAATCTAAAAAAAAAGCTTCAACTTTCCATCTTGTTGCAATTTTAACTTCTACTCTATTTCTTCCTTTTCTTTTTTGTTTCTGTCAGTTCTGAGGAACCCAGGGCCTTGTGCTTGCTGGGAAGTAGTAACCTGAATCATACTCTATTCCCTTTTGCTATAGCTAGTTTTTTAATAACTCACAAGGGCTTTAGTGTCCTTATGTCTTTTCATATGCTGTTCTCTGTGCCTCAGGCCTGATCAGTTCCCATTCATTCTTCAAGTTGAACTTTGACTTTGCCTCCTCTGGGGAGCACCTTTGACACCAAGGCTTGCATAGGACCCCCTCCTGTGTCTCCCCTAGTTCCTTGTGCTCTTTCTCAGAATTCATTGAAAGTATCCCAATTCTCTGCCTCCATCCTGGGGGTAAGAGACATGTCTTTCATTCCTGTACAGCTTGGTTCCCAGTAAAAGTCATGTGCTTGTTAAAGGTTACCACATGAACCCCATATAATCAACTCACTCCTAAGTATTCTCTCTTCTTCACATCCCAAGAGTCTAGAATTACTTGCAAGTTAAGTCTTAGATGATTAAAGCCTATCCATATACCCTGGCATAGTGGTTCATGTCTGTAATCCCACTACTGGGGCAGGAGGTTGAAAATTTTGAAGCAAGCCTAGCTCTAGCAAGACTCTATCTCAACTCTGTCCCTTCTTACCAAGGCCCCACGCTCCCCCCCTCCAAAAAAAAAACCTTCCCCAGCAGCAAAGCCATTCTTTCTGAAGGAATGATCACTGGGAGCCATATAAGGCTAAAGGAAATATCTCTTTAAGTACATTTACAGATGCTTCTCATCTGTGATCTTGGCTCCCAAGTGGGAGGCAGGACCTACAGCAGCACCCTGGTTATCTAGACAGGGGCACTGAGCTGTAGAGAAATTCACTTGCTGGCTTGATCTCATCAGTGGTAGATGGGATGAAGGCCAAGCTACATTCACATTGCCACCCTCCAGGCACCTCTTGTATCATCCTTTTATTTTTATTGTGATGCTGGATGGAACCCAGGGCTTTGTGCATTTTAGGCAAGTACTTTACCACTGAGCTACCGTCTCAGCTCACATCTGCTTTGATGACACAAAGTGTGCTTGTCAAGCTCAACAGGACACCCCTGGATCACTTCTGCTTTGGGCAACAGCAGCTTCAGTCTCCCCTTAACAAAGCCTGGGAAATGCCATCTAGGCACTTCTGAGTTTGTTCCTTGATCTCTTAGATTGAAGCTGAGCAGACAGCAAGGATGACATTTCTGACTTCAGAGACTGCAGTGAGCTGAGGGAAACAAGCATCTTTGGCCCCCTTCAGGACCCACCAGGTGGAGGGGATGTTGCCTCGGGTTCTGTGGAGGTAGGAAGGGGCTTCAAGGAAGATGCCTTTCTGTGGAGAGTCCATCAGCAAATTGTCTTATATAGCCATAACAGCCAGAAGCAAGGCAGAGGAGAAGGGTTTTGTCTGAGGAAAGCCAATGTATAGTAAACAGGAGAAAAGGGGCTAGAGCCCCACTTATCACTAAGTAATGTGTCCCCAGGTCATTGGGGGAGCTGGACCCCTACCGGCAACCCTGAGTCAGGGAAAGACAATTCCCGATTAACTCCATCACCTGTGAGCCAGGCCAGGGCAAAGGTCTGGCCTTTTCTTGTGCTAAATGATTCTCATAGTCATTAGGCATTTGCAGGGTTCAGTACCATTTCTAGAAACCCTTTCCTAGGCTGGAGAAATGCCTTCCAAGCCCACTGCTCTTTGGAGCCCCCCTGCAGCCTAGTGGACATTTCTTGGAAGGAGTGGAGGTCTGAGGGAGGCAGAGTGGCAAGAGACTGGGGGCAGTTGCAGAAGGAGGGTGGTGGTTTCATGATCAACAGGTTGGCTTAGACATGAGGAACTAAGAAATGTCTCTTGGTAGAGATGGTCTTAAACATAATGGTTTGGGGCTGGAAATGCAGCTGAGTGGTAGAGCATGTACCTAGCATATACAAGGCCCTGGATTTTATCCCCTGCACCACAAGAAAAAAAATGTTTTTAAGCTTTCATTTATTCCGCAGACTCCATGTATGTAGGTATTTTCATTTATAGAGGAGAAAACTCAGAGGGGTTGAGTGAAGTGACTGAAGCTACTGAGCCACACAGACCAGTACTCCAGCTCTTAACCACATGTGGCTTCTAAGTACTTCATGTTCTTAGAAAAATCGAGATTTTTTTTTTGATGGTCCTGATGCTTGAGCTCAAGGCCTGGGCACTGTCCCTGAGCTTCTTTTGCTCAAGTCGAGCACTCTACCACTTGAGCCATAGCACCACTTCTGGATTTTGCTGTATAGTTTATTGGAGATAAGAGTCTCACGGACTTTCCTGTCTGGACTGGCTTCAAACCATGATACTCAGACCTCAGCCTCCTGAGTAGCTAGCATTACAGGTATGAGCCACTAGTGCCCAGCTACAAATTGAGATTTTTGTCTGTATTGTCTATACACAATGTCCCTGGCTTTCAAAGAGAATGCAAAGCATGTAAAATAACTCAAACACTTTTTTATTTGACTCAGGTTGAAACAGTTATATTTAGGATATATTCGGTTAAAGAAAATATATTACCAAAATTGATTTCACCTCTTTTTCTTTTTTTTTTTTTGTGGCGGGGGGGGGGGCGCGTCTGGTCGTGGGGCCTGAACTCTGGGCCTGGGCACTGTCCCTCAGCTCTTCAGCTCAAGGCTAGTGCTCTACCACTTGAGCCACAGTGCCACTTCCGGCTTTTTTTTTTCTTTTTTGGCTTATGTGGTACTGAGGCATCAAACCCAGGGCCTCATGCATGCAAGGCAAGCGCTCTACCACTGAGCCACCTTCCCAGCCCTATTTCACCTCTTTTTCTTTTGGCACTGGGA